GTGATTCCAAAGAAACTGGGAGCAGATCCGCCTACAAAGAGTAAACAATGCGGGGGGGGGGGGGGGCAGGTGGATAGGCAGGGCTTGATACAGGTAGAGGAGAGAGGAAGGATGTGTCATCTTTAGTATGGCTGCCCTCCCAAACCAGGAGAAGAAGAGTAAATGCCATTTCTGTGAGTCAGATTGAATAGAACGGATAGCAGGAAGAAAGTTTATTTCATAGAGTTCAGAAAGATCACCTGGAAGTTGAATGCCCAAGTATGTGATGGCATCAGTTTTTCCAGGTGAAGGGAAAATGTGATTGGCAGAAAGAAACCAAATCTGCAGAAAGGGAAACATTCAGAGCATATGACTTGGAAAAGTTAATCTTTAAATTTGAAATAGTTTGGAAATGTGCAAAATCCTTAAGCAAATTGGGCAGAGTAATACAGGGTTCAGACAGGAAGAGCAGAATGTAATCCGTGTATGCGTCAATCTAATCGCGCCCTGCGACCAAGATGCCCTTAATATTTTGATTGGAATGAAGTCTACGAAGAAGTGGCTCAAGCATCAGAACGAACAGTAGCAGTGAGAGAGGGCACCTTGATGTGTGCCGTTCTGGAGAGAAAAGGTTTCTGACAGGTGGTCACGTGTACTCGGGCTTTTGGGCGAGAATAGAGGACCATGATAAAATTCTGCATGTGTTCTTGAAGGCCAATGGCCCTCAGGACCGTTGCCATATAGTCCCAAGCCACCCTGTTGAAAGCCTTCTCGGCGTCTAGAGAGAGGAAGAATCTGCTTCTTTTAGAGGTGCGTAGCCAATGATGATGGTTCAGGGCCTTGATGGTATTGTCCCTGGCTTCCCTCCCAGGGACAAAGCCCACCTGATCTAGGTTGCTAAGGGAAGGCAGTACAGGGAAGAGGCGGTTAGTTAAAATATTGGCAAAAATTTGACGTCGACATTCAGTAGAGATATGGGCCTGTAGTTGACCACAGACGTTGTGTCCTTATCTCCTTTGGGGATAACTGTAATGTGCACCTCTAGAAGATGATGGTGCAAATCAGGGAGCATGGAGAAGGTGTTGAAGGCCAACAGTAATGGAGCATTTAGGATATCTGGAAATGTTTTGTAATTTGGCTCTGGAGAGGCCATCAGGGCCAGGGCTTTTCCAGGCTTCAGTTGTTTGATTGCCTGTTCTAACTCTATGTTGGATAAAGTCTTGCGCTGTGTCTTCTGAAACAGATGTCGTACTATATAAATGCAAGAAGTCGGAGATCATGCTGGATCTGAATTTGCGGCCAGCAGTGGGCGGGGACTCCAAGGGTAGGTTATATAGATTATTGTAGTAACGTTCTAAATGAGAAGCAATATTGTCAGGGTCATATCCACGGCAGGAGTTCTGGAAGATCAGGCATTTCTGCAAATACTCTACATGGCCGCAGAAGTACACATCAGCCTCAGTCTGGTGCCAAACGGCCTTTATAAGGAGGCTCATCACTTCCTCTGGTTGCTGATTGATCTCTATCTCACTCACTCCACTCCACTGAAACTGCTCTACTAAAACTCACTAATGATCTACTAACAGCTAAAACCAATGGCCACTACTCCGTACTCTTACTACTCGACCTCTCTGCGGCTTTTGATACGGTTGACCATCCCCTCCTCCTCAAAAAACTCCACTCTATTGGCCTCCGAGACTCTGCTCTCTCCTGGTTCTCCTCCTACCTATTGCAGCGCTCCTTCAGCGTTACCTATAATGCTGCCTCCTCCTCTTCACTCCCTCTCTCTGTAGAGGTCCCTCAAGGTTCTGTCCTTGGACCCCTTCTCTTCTCCATCTACACCTCCCCCCTTGGTCACTTGATAAACTCCCATGGCTTTAAGTACCATCTCTATGCTGATGACACACAAATCTATCTTTCTACCCCTCACCCCTTCAGTCTCCTCTCGCATTACTAACCTACTAAGTGACATATCGGCATGGATGTCACTCCGCTTCCTCAAACTCAATATTTCCAAAACTGAGCTCTTAGTATCCCCCCCCCCCCCGACTTGTCCATCAAGATCAATAACACAATCATCAGTCCCTCCCCTCATGCCAGGGTACTAGGTGTAATCCTAGACTCCCATCTGTCCTTTCAGTCCCAAATCCAATCACTGTCCAAATCTTGTAGACTTCACCTCCACAACATCTCCTAGATACACCCGTTCCTAACCTTGGAAACCACTAAGCAACTTATTCACTCCCTTGTTATATATCGCCTTGACTATTGTAACTCCCTCCTCATTGGCCTACCTCATCGCAGGCTATCCCCTCTTCAGTCTATCATGAATGCTGCTTGCCAGACTCATCCACCTTACTAACCATTCTGTATCTGCCACCCCTCTCTGCCAATCCCTCCACTGGCTTCCCATTGCCCAACGGATGAAATTCAAAACATTAACAATAATGTATAAAGCCATTTATAACACTGCCCCAAATTACATCACCGGTCTTGTCTCCAAATACCACCCAAATCATACTCTCCGCTCCTCACAAGACCTCCTGCTCTCTAGATCGCTCCTCTGTGAATGACCTTGGCTATCACATCTGACTACGACCGCTCTGATTCCCACCTGGTACCTGACCTTGGCTTGAACCGGCTATCCAGTAAACATCTAAATCCCGGAAGGGCTTGCATACCACGCACAGGCGCATCCTGTCTGAAGACCTATCTCCGTGCACCAGCTGTGCTTTTGAGTGGACCACCAACCAGCACTCCTACAGGCAACCTGTGCAACTTTGGGCCAGACTCCCGCTGCCCCACTCTCAGGGGTGTCCGGAACTTAGTCGCAAGGGAAGCCCTCTCTCCTTTGGCCTCCATCAGCAGGTACATGATAGACATCCACTTTCAAAGTAGCCATGAAACCGTCAGTACTCCGTATACGGTGAACCATTAAGCTAGCTTTCTTAGCACGAAGAGTTCTGCCGAGAAATTTGCCACTTTTATTAGTGTGCTTGTAGAAGAGTTTTTGTTTCAGGATATACTTAGGTTCCATCGTTTTACCCAATTCTTCCAAAAGGTGAGAACGTACTTCAGTCACGTCACGTTTCAAAGTTAGAGAAGCTTGAGTGTGTTTGTGGGCCCTTTCCAGGAAAGTGATACGATCTATGAGGGTATTTATACCTGTATGGGCTTGCCTTTCACGTTTGCATTTTGTGGCAAGGGCAATAAAAATCCTGCAAATTACACATTTATGAGCTTCCCACTGCATTAAGGGAGAGGTGTCTGGAGTGCAGTTAATGTTGAAATAGTCTATAAGCTCAGTGTGAATAATAGCCTCATGAGCTTTGTCAGATAAGAGAGAGGCATCCAGTTGACACGTTTTGGTGTGGGCCTGTCTTTCAGGGAGGCGCAGCGTGAGCGTAACAGGATGATGATCCGAGATAAACATTGGTTCAATAGTAGCATCTTGCATGTACGGCAGGTCAGTTTGAGTGAGAAAGGGGTAGTCGATATGTTATGTGGCGGGGAGAAAAAAGTTAAATCCTTAACATTAGGGTGAAGTGTGCGCCAGGTATCATGGAGAAGAAGATCTTGGAGTTGTATGTTGATTTGACACAGCGATCTATAGGGAAATGAAGAGGTGCCGGAGGAAGAGTCCACTAAAGGGTATAAGGGAACATTGAAATCGCCCCCCATGATTAACAGTCCTACATGGAAAGAGGTAAGTAAGTTAACTACTGATCGGAAAAAAGGAGACCTGCTCGACGTTAGGGGAATAGATATTAGCTAACGTGATGGGTCTGTCGGCAAGTTTCCCTTTAAGAAACAGGTAACGACCTTCATGGTCAATTGAGGAGTCCGTTACAACCAGGGGGAGGTGTTTGGCAATTAGAATTGAGACTCCTTTAGATTTGGCTAGGGTATTAGGAATAGAATCCACTCGAACATGCGTCTATTGTAAGAAGACGACGTCGGCTTTATGTTTGTGCAATGAGGAGTGTTTTCATGCGTGTTAAGGCCTTTAGCGTTGAGGGAAAGCACTTTCCAGGAGGAGTGGCCTGAAGAGGCCCTGCGGGTTTTCATGATGGAAGGTGTCAGGGCTCCAGGGTATGACCAGAGGTATGTGAGCTGACGCAGGGAAACGCAGGCTTCAGATATGTGATAAACAATAAGACAATTTATTAAAGACTAACAATACAAACATAAACGCAGTGCAATACTAAAACATAACACAGTGCAAACCAACCAAACCACCCACAGATAACAGTACATACAATGCAAGCGTCGTCAGGCAGGCCGGGTCACTAACAAACGGGCAGGTAGGTACAGGGGGTCAGGCAGAGAATGGTCGGGGTCACAAGCCAGGGATAAAACAGGAGAAGTCAGCAGAGGTCCGGATCAGGCAGGGTCAGCAACAAATCAGTCAGACGGACAGGAACAGGAACGCAGGTAACAAGATACAGGGGCCCAGGAAAAACACACACCAAGGCCGAGACTGCAGGTCTGGCCATCCCTTAAATACACCTGCATAATCAACTTCAGGTGTTTGGCTGGCTGCAGGGTTGAGTCTCTGATTGCTGGGAGCATCCCGCTGGCCAGCCCTGGTACTGCAGCCACAAGGCAGGTGAGTCCCACCATTACTGGCAAGTCCATTCCTGACAGTACCCCCCCCCCCTCAAGGAGCGGCCTCAGGACGCTCCAAACAGTCCTAGCTGGGCAAAATGTTCCACCGCCCGGGTCTGGTAACTGGCGGGATATCAAAGACTGGCACATCGGGCAGGACTCCGGGCAGCGGCACACCGGGCAGGACTCCAGGCAGCGGCACATCGGGCAGAGGCACATCAAGCTGGACTCCGGGCAGAGGCACATCGGGCTGGACTCCGGGCAGAGGCACATCGGGCTGGACTCCGGGCAGAGGCACATCGGGCTGGACTCCGGGCAGAGGCACATCGGGCTGGACTCTTGGCAGAGGCACATCGGGCTGGACTCCGGGCAGCGGCACATCGGGCAGGACTCCGGGCAGGACTCCAGGCAGAGGCACATCGAGCTGGACTCCGGGCAGAGGCACATCGAGCTGGACATCGGATCACCAGACGGAGCAGCAGGCACTGGGGCACCGGGCCACCAGGCAGAGCAGCAGGCACCGGGCCACCAGGCGGAGCAGCAGGCACCGGGCCCCCAGGAGGGGCGACAGGCATCGGGCCCCCAGGAGGGGCGACAGGCATCGGGCCCCCAGGCGGAGCGACAGGCATCGGGCCCCCAGGCGGAGCGACAGGCATCGGGCCCCCAGGTGGAGCGACAGGCATCAGGCCCCCAGGCGGGGCGGCAGGCGCCGGCCTCCAGGCGGGGCGGCGGGCCCCCAGGCGGAGCGGCGGGCCCCCAGGCGCGGCGGCAGGCACCAGGCCACCAGGTGGGGCGACAGGCACCGGGCCCCCAGGAGGGGCGACAGGCATCGGGCCCCCAGGAGGGGCGACAGGCATCGGGCCCCCAGGAGGGGCGGCGGGCGCTGGGCCCCCAGGCGGGCGGCGGGCCCCTAGGCGGAGCGGCAGGCGCCGGGCCCCCAGGGAGGGGCGACGGGCATCGGGCCCCCAGGCGGGGCGACGGGCGCCGGGCCCCCAGGCGGGGCGACGGGCGCCGGGCCCCCAGGCGGAGCGGCGGGCACCGGGTCATCAGGCACAACAACGGGCATCGGGTCACCAGGCATCAGGTCATTTGGCTCGCCAGCGGGCACCGCGTCATCTGGCAAGGCAGTGGGCACCGAGTCACCAGGCACGACAGTGGGTTCCGAGTCAACTGGCATGACCACGGGCACTGGGTCAGACATTGGATCGTCTGGCTCGACAGCGGGCATCGGGTCACCAGGCATCAGGTCATTTGACTCGACAGCGGGCACCGCGTCATCTGGCAAGGCAGTGGGCACCGAGTCACCAGGCACGACAGTGGGCTCTGAGTCAATTGGCACGACAGCGGGCACCGGGTCATCAGGTACCGGATTGTCTGGATCGACAGCGGGCACCGGGTCATCTGGCGTTGGATTGTCTGGCTCGACAGCGGGCATCAGGTCACCAGGCATGACAGCGGGCACTGGGTCCTCAGGCATGGGATTGTCTGGCTCGACAGCGGGCATCGGGTCACCAGGTATGACAGCGGGCATTGGGTCACCAGGCATCAGGTCATTTGGCTCGCCAGCGGGCACCGTGTCATCTGGCAAGGCAGTGGGCACCAAGTCACCAGGCATGACAGCGGGCACTGGGTCAACTGGCCTAATGGAATCATCAGGCTGGGTAGAGGCATCAGGCTGGGTAGAGGCATCAGACTGGGTAGAGGCATCAGGCTGAATTGTGGGCGCCGAGGCACCAGGCTGCACCACGGAAGGCAGGTTCTCAGATGGGAGGCTGACCGGTTTGGATACTGGCAGGATGGTATTGGTTGGAAAGAACTTTCGCCTTTTCCTGGTTTTAGTTACCGGAGCACTGTAAGTAAGTGCAGGTTTGTAAACGGATGGAGCAGCTGGAGACAGAGAAGAGCTGGAGGATGGAACACGGGAGGGAGCAGTTGCTACAGAGGACTTCTTTACAGGGTTAAAGGCAGGATAGGTGCAGCGAGTGGGAACAGGGTACTGACATGCGGTAGATAGCAGGGTATACTGGGCTGTAACTGGAGGAGCTGTTGGGAATGCAGGAATAGAGTTTTGAGGAAATAGATTAGAAGCAGGACTGGGTTTTTGTAAGCTGACTGAGGCTGGGTGCAACAAGTCTGACCATGTCTGCAGTATGGGTTGAACAAAGCTCAGCTTACACAAAGCCTGTCTGATCAAAGACCGCACTGCGTTTATACAATCCCTTAATACCTGTGGTGAACATGCAGCATAACGCTCCAAGAAGCAATCCACATCATCCTCTAATAACCATACCAGGGACTCTACCTGGTCTGCACTAAATGGTGGCAAAAAGTCATTCCTGCTTTCAGGGGTACCAGATGAAGCCAACTCTACACAAACCTGAATCAAAGGTTGCACCTCAGAGAACTCTGTGCCCTGATCTACTAGAACATGAGCGAGCCGTATACATTCTAGCAGTTGATCCCGGGGATACTCCTTCAGAGTCTGATAAGCATATTCTCTGTCATCAAAAACCAGCAGCGACAAATACACGACCTCATCAAGATCCATCCTTCCCAGCAACAAGCCAAGATGGCTTCCCTGTGCAGCCACTTCTGGTCAGGATTGGCCTTGGTGTAATGTCAGGGCTCCAGGGTATGACCAGAGGTATGTGACTGACGCAGGGAAACGCAGGCTTCAGATATGTTATAAACAATAAGACAATTTATTAAAGACTAACAATACAAACATAAACGCAGTGCAATACTAAAACATAACACAGTGCAAACAAACCAACCACCCACAGATAACAGTACATACAATGCAAGCGTCGTCAGGCAGGCCGGGTCAATAACAATCGGGCAGGTAGGAACAGGAGGAGCAGGCAGAGAGTAGTCAGGTCATGAGCCGGGTACAGCAACTAACGGACAGGTAGGTACAGGGGGTCAGGCAGAGAATGGTCGGGGTCACAAGCCAGGGATCAAACAGGAGAAGTCAGCAGAGGTCCGGATCAGGCAGGGTCAGCAACGAATCAGTCAGACGGACAGGAACAGGAACAGGGATGCAGGAGCAAGATACAGGGGCCCAGGAAAAACACACACCAAGGCCGAGACTGCAGGTCTGGCCATCCCTTAAATACACCTGCATAATCAACTTCAGGTGTTTGGCTGGCTGCAGGGTTGAGTCTCTGATTGCTGGGAGCACCCGCTGGCCAGCCCTGGTACTGCAGCCCACAAGGCAGGTGAGTCCCACCATTACTGGCAAGTCCATTCCTGGCAGAAGGGGCAAGATCCCGGGCAGATGGACCAAGGTCAGATAAAGAGGGGTGGTGTGGGGGAAGAGTGAATGCCACAGACCTATGGAAAGAAGGATGCAAGGTATAAGGGGAGAGGGTCAATAGGGGTCTGATGGGGAGGGAGAAGAGAAAAAAAAAGGGAATGTGGGGGAGGTGGGAGGGGGAATAGAGAGGGGTGGTCAGTAGGAAAGGGGGAAGAGAAAGAGAACATTTTTTACAAAGTTCCGGAAGTGAGAAGAGACCAGCTATGTCAAAAATAAGAAAGGAAAAGATTGGGGAGGATATTTACCGGAAATGGTCATTAACAGCTCACAGAGCCTGCTGTGTGCTGAACGAGAGTGGTGTAGATCCAAATGGGGAGTCACTGCCTTTAGGAGGACCCCAAGGGCTTTGAATGGGGCAGGTGAAAGTATCCGCTTGATTATGTACAGTATAGTTATGTGGGTTAAAGCTGGCGCAGGACAGAAAGGTAGAGTGGGGGAAGGAGGGGGGTAGTGAAATATCAGCGCACAACATGTTAGGAGCAGGAGATGTAAGAGAGCTCTCACAGCAATCTCTCTTCTTAAAGAGGGAAATGTGGCATAAGGTGTAGGGCTGAATCACCCAGGAGCAGTGTACACAGGGGGATAGGGACAGCCGAGTAAGCACCACAGGAAATCTGGTATCAATCTACTGAATGTGGGACATTGTGCAAATAGGGGCATAGGACATGAAATTATGCATATTGCCCCCTGACGGAAACAGAGAAAAAAAAAAAAAGAAAATGAGCAAAGTGTTGGGGGTTTGCAGGCTGCCAAGCTAGTTGCGCCAGTGAGACCTAGCAGAGCGGGAGAAGAGCACACTCCCTGCATGAGCATTATGCAAAAATTGAGGAGAGAGCATCATAAATACAAACAAATTGCAGAACAATTATATGACAACATGCAAATGATCCATATTAACGTAGATATCAGTTAAAATCAGAGACATAACCTTACAGGGGCAAGAATCATTAGAGGGTGGCCCAGGAAGAACGCAAAGGCTCAAAAGAACTATGAGTGAGGGCTCCCGCCTGAGACAGAATGGAGGCTGGAGACTAAGTTGGTTACGGGGGGAAATAATGACACATTAGGGCCTTGTATCACTTAGTCTCCTCGAGTTCTATCCAGGGGCGTCACTCACCTCTGTCGTCCCGGCTTCTGATAAGGGTCAGCAAGAATTAGTACGTGCTTGATGATTGGTGAAAAGTAAGGTGATAGTTTTTGTGGTCATAACCATAACATCCGACAGTGTGATCTCAGGTTGAGGCAACAGGTTGTAGCAGGTAAGGAACGTTCAGCTAGTGCGACAGGAGCAGATGCAGGGGTCCATCTTCCTACAACCATTCAAGTGAGATCCAAAAGGGTGTCAGATTGTGGAAGAGTGCCCACAAATTTCCAACCTTAAGGCCTTGATATGTCAGTAAAGACCTTTGTTTGTGTATAAGCATAAGTTTGTACAATTCCAAGGCAAGAGGGAGGGAGTTGGCCTACCAGGTGAGCCGGAGATGAGGAGGAAGGCGGGTGAAAGGTGAGTGAGAAATTGAACTTCTCTACTCGCCAGGGGTTGTGTGGACTGATTGCTTCCGAAGTAGATGTCTTCTGCACGGATGCTGGCCAATAAATCAACAAGGCCTTAAATGAGCCCCCAGTCCTGGAGTGCACTTTTCACTGTATGGGACCAGTATGGGGAGGCAGCATGGGGAAGCATCAAGCAGGCATCAAGGAGTATTGAAAATAGATAGATCCAGATAGGTAATCAGCTCCATGAAGGAATAGACTTTAAACAAAGAAAAAATGATATGGAGGATAATTTTTCAAGCTATGCATTGCCAGGCATACGTCAATTCTCTTTCAGTCAGACTGTGGCGAGGTCTCCAATGTGCTGGAGAGGCCGTCGGGTTGTTTTCCACTTGGGATCCTCGGACCGCCGGTCTCGGGGGAGTTGAAGGGATTAATCTGTGATGGCAAAGTTGTTGACCTTGCCAATCCATGTGGCATGTTCCTGTGTTCCAAGAATCAGGAAGATGCATTGAGCAGTACCAATCTGGTAGGTTGACCAGAGGAATATCGAAAGCAGCGCATAAATTAGGCAGGTCCTCTGGTACCCTCAGATATGCCATGTGACCATGAGCATTTGCTGAGAGGCAGAAAGGAAACTTCCATCTGTAAGGGATTCTTCTGGAGCGGAGGCTATCCAGCAGGGGACGGAGTTCTTTTCTTTGTTGCAGATTTAGGTTGGAGAGGTCAAGAAATAGCTGAATTTCTGTACCGCAATGAAGAAGGCGACGTCTCTCTCTACCGTGTCGTAAGATGTCTTCCTTAATCTGGAAGCTGACAAGACAGCATACAATGTCGTGTTTGGGGTCAGTATCTCTGCCCCTAGGGCGGATGGATCTATGTATACATTCCAGCTCAATGAGAGTAGCAGGCGGTCAGCCTAGCAGATCATTAAAAATGGCCACTACTACTTTAGGGACATCGCTCGGCTCCACTGATTGTGGCAGACCGCATATTCTGATGTTATGTCTGTGCCCGCAGTTATCAAGGTCTTCTAGGTGGCTATAGAAATTATGGATGTTTTGCGAACAAGTTGTGGTCAGTTGTTGCACCTGCTGTATGGTCTCCGTGTGCATTCTGATAGTAAATTCAACCCTTCTAGTCTTGTGCCCAGGGTTTGGAGGTTGTTGCGAAGATCAGCTAGGGCTGTAGTTAGGGTTTCCTTAATATCAGCTGCCACTGCATGGAGATCTCTCAGAGAAAGCACGTGAGTCGCTGAGGAGAGATCATGCTGTGGCAGACTGTCTCTCACAGGGCTGTTGCTGCCAGAGGAGGAGGAGAAGAAGTTGGCGGCAGTGTGTCACTCTGCTGGAAGCAGAAGAGCTTCGTGATATGATGGTTGTGCTGCGAGCCAGAGGCCCAGGAACAGCGGGAGTGGTGGGAAGCCGAAGTGTTCTGATCCGCTTTCCCCATAGTGTAGCGGTTAATCTCTCACCCATGCCACTGTATAGATAGGGCGCAGTTCCTCATCAGGTGGGAGCTCCTTTATCAGGTGGCCATTTTGGATCGCAACCAAACCACGCCTCTCTAAACTCCATTATTATTATAAAATCAACTGAGAAAGGTGGAGCTATAGTGATCCAGGATGAAGTGGACTATGTTAGAGAAACAAAGCGTCTTCTCTCTGACTCTAAAATGTATAAGAAACTTAAAAAGGATCCCTTCCCTGAGTTCTTCACTGAGGCGAATACTCTCATAGATACAGCCAAGCAACAGGGAGTCATCAACAAGATGGATGTTGCTTTTTTTGGAAAGAATTTTACACAGTTCCTCATTTCTACCACCTTCCAAAAATCCACAAGGATGCTAGTAAACCTCCAGGGTGCCCCATTGTGGCTCTATGGAAAGCGTCACTAGTGGATTTTTGCTATATATTGACCAGTTTTTGCAGCCC